GGCCCCCGCAAGTCATTGTATAGGCCACATCGCATTCAAACGCCACTACGAATGTACAAATGGAAGTAGAATGCGTGCCGCATCCCAAAAAGGGATTGATCAACGGCAAATGCTTTATCCTTTATTCTTTGGTGTACGGTGCTGCAAAGTGATGGGCCGCTGGCCACGTGCGAAGAATTGGATTGAATGTTTTCAATTTAGGATACTTCACATCTCCCAATTAAAATGTTATTCTATGCGGCATTATTACAGTTCTTATTCTTACCGTTAGAGTTATCCACAGCATTAGAGAGTAGTCGAGCACAATGGTGAGCGTCCCCCCAATATACTGTGGCTTTCTACAAGCACAGAGGTGATCCCGCGTTCGTGACTAGAAACCTCGGCCATAAACGCTCCAACCTAGTACAGAGTCACGTGAGCCATGACTGCTCGCTTCGGAGGGTGGTCGTGGACGGAAAGTTAGGTGGTTTGGTTGCCGTATCGACTGCTGTCAAGGAGCCAGCAATGGCTACAAGTTCCGAAAACTCGTTCGGAAACGCCTCGCTCTCATGGCAGCCTCCTTCGTACCTGCTAGGGAAGGGGCCTCTATTTCCAGTCTTTTCAACAGCTTGTTGTCGTTCTTTCTTTACTAGCGTTTCACTTCGCATCTCTGCATTCTATTTCGAACCCGGAAATACCCAACTTAATCCCGAACTGGCCTCTGAATAAGGTGCTGTATATTCATCCGTTAGAGTTGCGAATAGAGGACTATCTAGTTTTTCCCCGTTTGAATGAGCCTCTGAACTCAAGACAGCTCAAGGTAGGAGCTGATTCCAGGGTTTGTACGCTCTTCATACTGATAGGCGAGACAATTCTATCCTAACGCGGCGCTGAGGTGACTAACCGGTTGTTTGCACGAAATTAATGGATGTTTTTCCAACAATCAAACACATTCTATCGATTTTTTATATTCGAGATGGAGAGTGCCAAATTAAGCTGTTTACTGAATTAGAAACTCTAGTAAATTATTCTCGCGCCCTTCACTTTTTGTAGGGTTGTTTACCATCTCTAAACATTTCCAATTTCTAATCACAATTTTTCTCCATCCTCATTGTGCCGAACGTTTTTATGGCTTGCTGTTCAGCAGTATCTCTCAACCTCTTTGTTTCCACGTGAATACAGGCACGTGTTCGCACTGTCCTGCGCTCTTATCATTTGAAGCCCATCAGCATGGCTATTTAACGCCCTTAAAAGATGTCTACAGTGTGAATGGGGAGGTGATGCGTGGGCGTGGTGACACACAGATGCGTGAGACCCGAGGATCAAATTCCGGACTGAATTTCGCCCTGAAATTCCAAACTTTCCAGCCTCTGTGGCGGCTATTCGGTGGCACACTTATCTCTTGATATGGAAATACCAAAAACAGAACACAAGGATCGAAATGCTTGGTACAATAACTAGTTGCCCCGCTATAATAACTGACTGCTCTCCAACATACTCGGAGCGAGCAGTCTGCGTTCGATTCTCAGCTCGGACAAAAGGTTTGGCCCATAACCCAGCATATTTTTGATAGATTCTGCATCGCAAACTGCGGAAAAAACAAGTTAAAAACTGACCGGCAACACTTAGTTGTCGTAAGTCTTAACATGATGTATTGGCAATCGCATTCGGCTGCCACTAACGTGTTGAAGAAGGCCATGAAGGCCCCGACGTCGTATAACTTAAGTATCGTAAATGCTATTAGCCAAGTTATTTGGGGGGGGGGGGGGGGGGGGGGGGGGGGGGGGGGGGGGGGGGGGGGGGGGGGGGGGGGGGGGGGGGGGGGGGGGGGGGGGGGGGGGGGGGTTAGGCTTTTGTCCAGCTTCAACGAATATAGAGAAGGTATGGTTGATAAGGGAATCGGAAGGCATTATACTAAAGCAGCAGGATACGGGAACACCTACACTATGGCTAGAAGGGGCCGGGACTCCGAGGAAAATTGAAATTGCCTACACATCCTGGAGTCTCTCCTCTTCTGCCTGGAGTTTTTGAATGCACTGGCACCAAATTGCCTCCGTATTTTGCGAAAGCGACGTAGAATTCTGCTCTGATCAAGTGAATTAATTCAAACCTCTTGCTCTCACAGAAGTTCGGCACGAGAATACCACTAAAAAGCTTTATTGACAGAGATCGGAAGGTCGAAGACTTTTGCCACCTTGGCTACCTTAGCGTTGTCACTGGGAAGTGTTTACTTAAAGCGCAGGAGGTATTTGCATAGCGGTACTTCGATACACGCGTGACAACTAAGGTTCACTTACAGCACGTGATTAGTGAAGCCGGCACGGCCTTCTCCATTATCAGAAGCACTTTCCAAACAAAAATAGCGCATAAAAAATGAGATATTTCTTTCTCTTTTGACACTCATGATGCCTTTTTGACTTCCTCGACTCATTTTCAACTGGCAAGAAATCCTCCCCACAGAGTTTGACCTTCGTTTCCAGGAGTGAGAAGGGTGAATCATCTTTTTCCTGTGCTACGAGTTAACTTTTTTCCGTGTGGGCTATATCATGGATTTTTTTCTCATAGCGGCACGGGAGTTGTAGAACCCTTCCCAAGGTCAACGTCGACATTGTGTTTTGCAGCACTGACGCTCCCACCCGTTATCTCACGCTCGCTGCGCTTTGCGCTTCCTCCTACTGCAGTAAGTAGTTGTCATTAGCTTTTGCTCAAAAGAATAAAATCAACACAGCCTATGCGAGGCCTTTAGAGGCAAAGGTCAGGATAGGAGAGAAAAACCCCAAAGCGCGGCTATAAGCTCAGTAATGCATTGTTGCTATAGTCGCCTGCCGTTGCTTCCCCCACTTCTGGTGGGCGTGCTTGCTACGTGTGAATTTAGCTGGGTTGATTGCCGTATCAAGCGAGGGCACTGAGTCAGCAATGGCCGGCATTTCCGGAAAACTGTCGTTTGGTTTTGCATCTTTTACACTCAGTTTCAAAAACCATAATACTCCATATCGAGCCCGATCTGTGCCTTTTCAGTCAAGGTGGTGCTTGAATGCGATTCTCTTGGAAGTGAGGGACTGAGCGCGGGAATGAGAGTTTCCGGCGAGAGACGCAAATGAGAGGACGCTAAGACACACCTATGCAACGGGAAAATTAAAAGCTGTTGAAGCATCTATTCGAGACTTGGTGTCTTTGTTCGTACTGTTCCATGGTCGTTGTACTACATATCGTGCCATCTATGGTGTACGTTACTGTAAGACAGGTCAGAATTGTTCACAAGTTATACGATTAGTTGTGAGGGTGAGATTCGCGTCCCACCGCAGGAGAATCTCATTTTCTAACACTTGCCCTTTATAATGAATTACGCACTAAAGAGTTGGACTAACCATTAAGTTTCCGAAGGAGTGCGGTACACGAACCTGCCATATGATCAGTGGCTGAGTATCATTCTGCGCTCATGTCTTTGGCGGGAGGGGGGGGGGGGGGCACTTTCAGAATAGTCACAGCATTGGACAGTCATAAGCCCAGGCGAAGGGAGAAGGCACGCTAATAGTAACAAATTATGACATGCTCTTCCAGGTCTTTTCTTCCCAGAGGTCAGTCGAGCAGGGTCGGTCCTATCGTTGGAACTTTTTGCAAAATTTTTACGACCCCTCTCCTTCACGAGAAGTTTTCTCACGACCCCCTCTTCACAACTACTACTACTTTGGGGGGGGGGGGGCTCATTCGCCTACATATTTCACCTCTATTTCCATCGCCCTATATACATATTTAGGAGAAGTATATACGCACGCTGAAACGGCAAACTTTTCTCCAGCGCGCTCTCATCATCATCACATGTTTCGTGCTACCTACGACCCCCCCCCCCTACAAGTCCATCCAAGTACGACCCCCCGTTGCTACTTGTAGCAACGTAGGGTTGACCTTGTCCCAGGTACTGTTTGTGGCTAGTACATGTACCCCCTCCCCCCGCTCGAGGACAAGAGCGCTGTGTGATTTTATGGAACATCAGTGAGCTGTAGAAGAAAGCGTACATGCGTCTTCAAACGATTACTAAAATCAGGAGACATTATGTTCTTATTTCTTACTGACCGGCGCTTTTGTGCAGAAGCGGGATTCCCGCACAAACGGTGGAACCCTGGGTGAGTTCAAAATTCGTTTTGCTTATGTTTCTCGGTGGGACTCCGACGGAAAGTCGGAACCGCTAGAGGAGATAAGGCGCTTGGTGGATTAGATCGTGAATTTTAACCTTGAACCGCGTTTAGGCCTCAGAAGACGACGATTTTGTCGAAACGTTAGGCCGATTGAATAAATGTTCCACCTATCAACCTCGAACGGCAGAAAAAAATAAAAATAAAGGATAAAGGATAAAGCATTTGCCGTTGATCAATCCCTTTTTGGGATGCGGCACGCATTCTACTTCCATTTGTACATTCGTAGTGGCGTTTGAATGCGATGTGGCCTATACAATAAGGCCTAAGTCACGTCGTCTTAGTAGCTAATCACTTCAAAAAATTATTGCGGGGCCAGCCGATGTACAAGTCAGTGTTTTTATCCTCCCAGACAAGTCTGGTACCAATTAACCGACCCCGGAGGGATGGAAGGCTTGGTTGGCCCGGGCGACTCACGACCCAGGATTTGATCCCCGGACCGCTCGCGTGGTAAGCGTGCCACTTGCCACTACACCACTTCCGCCAGAAGAAACAAACACAACAAAAAATCAGTGCTTTCGTTCTAGGATTCAGTAGCAGACGCACCTATTCAATTGCGGGAGATACCTTTACTAAAATTAATGCAAAATGTCTGAAAACGATTCAAAT